GGCATCCTAACTGGTTGTGTAGCAAGCCCTGTAGAACAACCATCAAATCACACAGCTTATCCATAATCGGAGTTAGAACGTAGAATGGACTTAACACAGACCTTTCAAGTATTACTTGTCATCAACAATTCAAAACTAAATTAAAAAAATTAATATTTGCAGATTACTCCAGCTAACAAATATTGGGTATTCCCAGAATCAATTATTTGTTTTAGAAATATTAACTTCTCAGTTTGTTTATTTATTTAATATTGTTTACATAACTTTTTATTTATTTTTTCCTTCTTATTTATTTTCATCTTTATGCAGTTGAATTATAATTTCAGACCTGGAAATTGCCTTGTAATATTTGCATTGGTGTATATGAGTGCATTTGTGTACTTATACACCTTAACATATGGTGCTTATGTATATGTTGTGTGAACATATGAATGTAAAAAAAAGTCACTTGAAAATAAGTGTCCACAATGTGTATATGCATATATTATTATTATTATTTATTTGCCAAGTACATGTGTACATATATATATTTTTATATATAGCATTTTTCTTTTCAAAAAAGATAGTCAAATGCTATTGACATGTGCAGAAAATGACCCTATATCTAGTTTTCATATACATATATATGCATTTACTAATTTTTCCCTAACTTCAATTTATTTCTTTGTACTCCTTAATTTCTATACGTTTATGACACAATAATGCCAATGTTATATTAGGATGATTCACGGGAAGGCTACTTCCCATAAGCTATGCTTCAGCCCTCCCACTTCTACTCATTTTGTTTATCTTTGTGTCTATGAATTATACTTTTTTATTTTTTGGATGATTTAGTAGAATAGATAATTGTCTTCGGCACACAAGCTTCTGTGTAGCTGTTGGCAATGGAAATCTTATTTTAGGCCCCAGGCTAACTCCGAACATGCAACATACAATATCACATTTCATTTAGCTGACGCTTTTATCCAAAACGATAACAATCAGTTCAATAAAACATGTTTTTCTTCAGAGGTACATTAGCTTAAAATAAACCAAACCACTGTCAGTGCTGGTGCATTAGTTTTAAAAGGGCTAAACCCCTTTAAGCACTTCAATTTTGTTTTTGAGTTAGGTTTGGACAAGATATAAGAACAACAGATGGGTTTTTAGTTGTCAATATACTTACATAAAAGAAAGAATATATAAAATAGTGCAAATAAAATTATGGTGGAACTAAAATCGCATTTGCACATAGAGGTTGATTACTGAGATCATTATTGTTGTTTAAACCAAACAAAATCAGGAACATAACAGCACTCACATACTGTTGACTGCAAATAGAAAAAGGAACTGCTGAGTCACGCTGACTCATGCATCCATGCTGAAAATAAATATATCTTTGGATTTTCAAGTGTTTTTTGGGTGTTTCTTTTTGCCCACGGTGTTTAGCGATGACTGGTTTGTCGCAGTGTTATGATGATGCAGGAATTAGAGGGTGGCAGCAGGAAGAAGCCGCTCTGGCAATGACCTCGCTAGCTCACGCCACCAAGAAGGTTAATTAATGAAGCCACAGATGGGAGCTAATTGTATTATGATTCAGTGACCACGCCATGTGGCAGGAGTACGGCGTGGTGCTTAGGTGCTGCTGTGTGTGAGGGAACCAGACAGGCCAGAGAGTCACAGAGTGAAGAGGAAGGTTAGGGTGTTAAAATGAAGTTTAAAAAATGTGCTTCTCACCTAGCGTTGTCCCTGCCGTGGGACTTGATGAAGTTCATGTCTCTGTATTTGGACAGGAAGGCCACCAGCTGGTTGTTGGTCCTGAAATGGAAGAACAAGGACTTAATGTGAAATAACTCATATTGTTTAAATGTTTTCATCACTTAGCCACATGTTACATTGCTCTTGTATTTAAGGTCTATCCAATCCTGTCCAGTCTGCGCCTGTGGATAACACTCCGTGGAAAGAACATGATAAATGGCATTTGCCATTAGGGTCTGGCAATGTAAAGCTTATTTTATCTCCCTCAATGAAAATATTACATTTTTCCAAAATTCACTACATATAGTATGTCACTATATGTTCCGTTTTCCACATCAGACTTTGCACAAGTTGCATACTGGACCATGACTCTCTCCAATCTAGAAGTGATGTCATCAAATTCAGATTCAAGACCTTCGGCAGGTCAAACAAACTCATCACAGTGAAGTTCAAATATCAGTGTGAATAAGCAAAACACGTTTTTGAGTCACAATCACAGACATCGGCTGCCCAGCATCAGACCCTCAGCCCCTTCACGCCGTTAAAACTATTTAGGATTATACAAAAGATTGTGCTATCTATGATTTTGATGAATGACTCCATGCTGCTCTTCCTTTATAGAGCCGTCCCCGTGCTCTCACACGGGGCAGACAGGCTAAAAGCTTGGCTCCGCGGGCTACGCCACAGTCAATGGCGCTAACATCTCTTCTGTGGTGGAGCTTTTCATGATGGCTTGGCTTGCATTGTTAAAAGAGCAGCGAGGCTCTGGTAAAAAGCTTGAGGATCATTGGGGGGAGGGACAAGCACATATTAATGTCATTTTCTCTTCAAGGAGCAATTTCACAGCCTGGGGGGCTTATCTTAGGAGGTCCTGAGCCATAAAGCCTAACTGATGATGTGCCGCACAGACACATTCAGGCTTCTCTGTCTCTACTTCCCACACAGACAATGTACAGGCACAGAGGCACACAAATGCTTGTAGGCACGAAGCCACACACACACACACACACACACACACACACACACACACACACACACACACACACACACACACACACACACACACACACACACACACACACACACACACACACACACACACACACACACACACACACACACACACACACACAGCATATCCCCCCGCAGACTCAGCCCCTGTGCTGGTGTGAGGGGCTCTGGGTTTGCCTTTTGAGAGCCATCCATGCGGCAGGACAGACATTATCAGGGAATTAGACGGGAAATAATCCATGTCTCCAGTCCCACTGATAACAACAGCAGCAGTCAGGGCAGCGTGCCACCCCCCCACACCTTTAGTGCCTACTGTTTGGTCAAAAAAGAAAAGTATGTGACCACAAATACTTAAACTGCTCTTAAGAGAGTTCTCATTGGTCTTACTTTGCGGTGTTTCAAAGTCAGTGTATTACCTACAGTCAATGACGGCCAGTTTGGAGTAAGAAGGGAGTAGCAGTACAGTAGTAAAGCTTTATACTTGTGGAAAAGGCTGCAACAAAGCCTTATTTTGGCCAACTACAAATAAATCAGTAGCTGTTTAGGTGTAAGCTTTATTTACAAAAGAGACCAATATTTTCCCGGCTTTGCCATTCTTTTATACAGACCTTTCAATGCCAGCAGACTACATTGACTAATATTGTGTTCTTACCTCCCAGAACATGCTAGTCTACCGCTACCTTGATCGGTTAGATAGTTTGGGTTATTGTGTGACTTCCGTGTTTTCAAGTATTGGTTCTGATTCACCAAAGTCATACAATAATACTAATAAACAAATCGATGGTCGAAGCGTTAGACCAGCGGCTCCCGAGGTCTGCAAGGGAAAATTACAGTTTCTGTTGATGGAGACTGGAGAAAAGATCATAGATAATAGAACGACTTTCCTGCTTGAGATGTATTTCTAATGGCAATATAAAACTGTAGGGAACACTTAGCGCACACTAACCCAAACTCTAACCCTGTAAGGAAAGACTGATGAACATTCAGGATATATTTTCTTTTTTTATGACATTGGAGTCATGAACCGGGATGACTGGAAGCGACGATGGAGGGCTCGTCTGAGGACGACCTAGAGAGAGTCATGGAGAGAACTCGGTGTAAATGTAAACTTTGGACACAGCACCTTGAGGTGTGATTGAGGCATCTGCTTATTCCAACACGTTCTTCTTCCTCCGTGCAGTAGTGTGCTATAGTAAGTTCATAATGACAATGTAATGCTGTGTTTATTCTCGAGGGGGAATGTCTCCGAAGAAAATCAGAGAGGATTATCAGCGACAAAACAGCTGAGTGGGTTTGGGTTTCTTGCTTGAGGAGACTTGAGAAGGAAGCCCCCTCGAACAGAGGTCTGAACCCAGGCCTGCCACTTAAAAGGACCACAGTTCAAATGAGTAAATAGACAGTCAAATCTAGCTGTGGTTTTGAATGCACTTGCTAAGCAAAGATACAAGATTTGCATTTACATATTTCTAAATTGCATGGATCTAAAACAGGCGGTTTCCTCTTGTTCCCCTTTCCTATAACTGCTTATTCTCGCTTCCTCGTCTCTCCCTGTCATTTCTGTCTCTCGGCTCCGTCTTTCCCTCTATCAATCGTTCTGTTTCCCAACAGATGGGGCTTAAAACCTTCACTGTCAGCCTTTTTCACAACAACATCACCCTCATGCAAATGAGGATGCAAAACACGGGAAGAAAACAGTGTCTCGGTGCATGCACTCGCAAATACCTTTAATCATGCGCTGACAGACGCACGGACAGGCATACAGACAGGATAAAATATGCACACATGTACACAGACAGATGCTGAACTTCATCGGTATATGTGAAAACATCCGTACATAACAAGACTGAACCCATCTTTGAATACAATCCACATTTGCCCATGCATCCTCGCTCCAGCTGTGGAGACATCAGATCCAGCTTCTTTCTGCCCAGCGGCCATTACAGCCTGTCTAAACTCAACTGGTTGACATCTGGCTGCGCAGAAGAGATAACTCTCCCCTTAATAGGAGGATTTTAATTGGCTGCTGCAGAGCTACATCAAAAACCCAGCAGACCCTGAACTCCCCAAAGGACTATAAACTCGCAAAAAAAAAGAAATAATAATAATTGTCACAAGATGTCTCGTCCAATAGGCCATTTCCATGAATTCATGTCCAGGTCACGTACACTTAGTGGCTTTAATGACATTTTACAGCCTCTTTAAGGGGATGTTTTGGAGTGGTGTGGAGATGACTTTAGTACCGTACAGTACACAACAGGCCTGGGGCGTCGATAGGTATTGACCCCGTGCGTTTCAATTCTAATCAGTTCAACATGTAACCCTTTCAATGGAGTGTGAGCAAAGGAGCAGGTATTCGAAGAGAAGTTGTGAACGCATAGTGTTTGAGAGAAGCAGAGGTTCTACCTCATTGATCTGTTTGGTGTGGAGTGACTCTTTATTTAAAGCTCACAGTTAACCGCAGGAACCCATACCAGTGTGTATTGAATTACTGCTAGCATATTGGCTGAAAGTGCTCTGCTATTGTTGTGCCTTTGTCACAGATATAACTGTACACTGCTTACACCTAAGTTCATTTCCTAACAGGAACATTCTCCTGTCAGGCTAGCAGAGAACTCACAGTTTCATAGTTTCCTTTTTCTTTTCTTGACTCCACCTTTAACAGAAACATTTGCACATATTGTACTCACACTACCTCACTGCATCTCAATTTTAACCTTAATTAAAAAAAAATTTCTACTCTGCACACTTTTGTAATGTATATAGTATCCTATCTATATAACTTTTGTTAATTGGTCTATTATATAGAGTATTCTTACTTATTCTGTATATTTTATATTGAGTATTCCTTAGAAAATCCATTTATATATTTGTTCTACTGTTGATATATATATATTTACTGTTTATGTTTGTTTATCTTTTTTCTATTCTCTTTTATCTTATTTTATTAAATGTCTAACTCATGTGTAATGGACAATTTACATGTTGCTCTGATAAAAATAAATCCAATTTGGGATAAAAAAATCTAATCTAATATATATAAATAACCTCAGTCAGGTCTCCACTACAACCCTGTACTAAACTCCAGTTGCTGTAAAAAACCTCTCTGTTACCTGATGGGGTAGTCGGCAGCACTGAGGTTGATGAAGAAGTCCCAGCTCCAGTCCCTCATGGCCAGCAGGTCGGCCATGCTGCGGAGGTACATGGTCAGCAGACTGGCCCCCCCCCAGATGGTGGCCATGCGCCAGGGTGTCACCCTCACATTGGGATAATGGGCAGCCATGGCTTGAATCTGCCTATGCAGATAGTTGGAGCGCTGGAACAAAACACTCTAATTAATCTAATGTCTGATAGCAAGACAGTGATGTTATTGACAAACAAAGAACATTGTAATTAGTGTAAATCTTTCAGTATCTCCTGTATCGAATAACAATGTGTTATACATAAGGGAGTTTATTTTATGATCTACTCTTATTGTTAGTAAATGCAGTATGGAAAATGATGCCATGAAAGCAGAGTATAAGAAAATAGTTTTTATATATAAATAAGCTATCATAAATTCATAGTAGTAATGCTAACACAAAAAAGCTTACATTTATTCATATTTAACATGCATAAACTACAGTTTAAATGAAAAAAGAAATGCTGCCTGTTGCATTTATTATAATAGTGATATTTGGTGGGATGTCTCAAATTATCGCTGTAAAAATTGTATTTAGTGCAATGTTTTTAACCAATCACACAATGTGACACAACTTTGACTGGATGTGTAGGGTTACTGTCCATCAGAAGCAATTTATAAGTTATTTAGATTTTTGTAAGTTGGGAAACGATTAAGAATCTTAGAACATCAATTCTTACATGAAGCAATTTTTACCGACCCCCAAGTTTAGAAGTCTATTCAAACTTCCATTGATGAAACGATTGATTTGCAGGTACATCATGTTTGTCCCCTCTCTGTGCTCACCTGATCCACGTGTATGTAGTAGTAGTGCGAGCTGTGGAAGATGGCTTTGAAGAGGCGTTGAAACTGGCGGGAGGCTCGTCCGTGGACCACCAGGACAAACGCTATTCTGACTGGTTTTATAGGAAAGATCTCCACAGAGTCTTCATCCCACTGGACATTAGTATTGGCTTTACCTGTAAGGTAAGATAAGACAACATTTATGTAACAACACCAGGGAACATACATCTTGTATTAACGACATGTTCACACAGCATTGCATCAGTAATATAACTAGGGGTTGTTTGCATGTTTGATTGCCAAATCAAATCTGTAATTTACATGATTATCTATGAGAGGCTGCACAAACAGCGCCATATGTTACTGTACAATGGGGGAGCACCTATAAATATCTATGAGGGATAAGGAATATAGTAATAAAATGTCATTCTTTCAATAAACAATAAGGGAAATAGCTTCAAAAAAAGGTTGCTCAGCAACACGGTAAGTAGCAGAGTGGTATGATTAGCATATTCATATTACTTAACTGCTATGTAACAAGTGAACATAAAGTCGATATTTTACATTGTCTTTCCTGCCACAGCCGGAACTGGGGAAGTGCCTATATTTCTAAATGTATGCTCTTTTGAAGATATAATATAGGACTATTATGTAGCCATTATGGTTTGAGAAACACTTACTGAGCAGGCTGTGATTTTATAACTTGTGTTTCTTTTCAAAGGGATAGTTTGGATCTGGGGCTGTAGCAACGGTTTCACTTTAGCAACGGTTTGACTTACAAATAGATCAAAATCAGTTTGAACTGGGCTATATTTCAAATATCTTTGCTGCTTTACCTTCCTGTCAAACTGAATCTTTTACCTTTGCTTTCACCAAGGCAACGAGACTCTATTGAAAAATAAAAACATTTGCTTTTTGCAAACAAGAGGGTTGCTTTTCTATGCTGCATTGATTGTTTGGTTTGTAAAACTAACTAATTGAAGCAGTGGTAGACCAACCGCAAGGTAAAATATTTGTGGAATCTGGTAGATTTAAAGAGACCATAGATAGCTTTAACTGCCTCAGTGCACCCTCGGAAAGAATAGTGTACCTAAAATCTGATATTGATTTCCATGCTGGTATTCCTGTATGCTTCTACGAGCTTGTAAGGCAGGCCAACAGTCAGGTAGCTAACTGACTATAGATAACTACTTCATACAAATCCACTTTAAAGAAACCAAACTATCCTTTAGAATACATCAGATGTCATGCACAAGGAACACAAGTAAGTTGACAACCAAGATATAAAAAACAAACTTAGTAAAAGAAAGTCCGACAGCTCTTTCAGCCCTACTGTGGAAAAAGCATGACCACAAAATCTCTTATCGGTGTTTCTTCAGTGATTGAACTTGAACCATGACAATTTCAACCCTTACACACTGTAACTACTATCCTCATTCAGATCCTTTTAATCCTATAAACGATTCCTCTGGGGTTTCGGGGTGGAGCACTGTTTGACAATGTGCCATCATTCCTCTCAGGCAAAACTCATAGAAGATGCCTTGGATGTCACACAAATGACAACAATAACCATGCAAAGCAAACACCGCCCTGGTCGCGGCCTGCCAAGCCACTATCAAATTAAACAATTCCAACAATCTGTGGAGAGCCGCTGGTAACCTCACATAGCTCCATTGTGCGGTTTTGTACCACCCTAGACCGCACTAAGACAAACAATTGCACTTCAAAACTTGAGAAGAAAAAGTTTATCGAGGCAGTTCTGCATGATCAAGTCCCACAACGTTACATTACACACATTGTTTGTTTTTAACCTCAGTTATTACAGCAAATGTGGGCATGCAGCTTATGAGACATGTTTGTTTACAGAACGTGCCTTAAGTATATTAATTACTTTAGTTTGGGACTTCAGTTCCCAAGAGCCTGCAGTGCTGAAGAAGTAGATGAAGCTACAGTAAGGGAGTTCTGAGGTGATGGGTGTTTATTCCCCTGAGCGCACATTGAAACAAATTACCCCTCCCGGCTCCTCTCCCAGTCTGGCCCTGAGGCTCCTGTAATTACTCAAAATGTTAAAGGCGAGTGTCAGACATGTCGGCTCTTTATGAGTCGACAGCGACCGGCTAAAAGGCCTCTTCCCCACTGTTTAACTAATCTCATTCATTCAAATGTAAGGGCAGGTGTCCAACATGGCTTTGTTTAAAGGTTGACCACAAGGTTGGGTTAATGACAGGCTCCCTTGACTCCAATTGGCTGTGGCTCCTGTCAGTCACTCATACTTATTACCCACTTCTTTCTCTCTCTCTCTCTCTCTCTCTCTCTCTCTCTCTGCATGTGTGTGTGTGTAGGTCTATGTGTGTGTGACAGCTCATGGGGGAAATCTGCTGTGAGCCGTATCAGATTGAGCGGTAATTGGTGGCCAGCTAAGAAGGTTCACTGGTTTGCTTTGCACACGGATAATTGGCCAGTCGTTTCACAAAGCACTTTGAGAGTGTGTGCTATGCTAGCTAGCTGAACTAATGAGCACTGCTGTGTGTGTGTGTGTGTGTGTGTGTGTGTGTGTGTGTGTGTGTGTGTGTGTGTGTGTGTGTGTGTTTGTGTGTGTGAGAGAGAGAACTTACATTTTACTGTCAGTTTTGTCGAGCATGTGTGTTTATCTGCAGAAGAGCTTGACGTGTAGTATTTTTCTGCACCTGAAGGCACTGCGGGCCTTTTTCCCAAAGGAAAAAAAACTCAGAAGCCCTCTTCTTGAACTCATCACTCTTCATCATGCTTCCCATCGCCATCAATCTTTTAAACTGCCTCTCCCTCATCTGCTATCACCCCGCTCTCTTCCTCCATCATCTTGTGTAACTTCGGGCTCTTACCAACCCTCCATCTTAACTGCTCATATGAGAGGTTAGAACAAGAGCTGAGCTTTATCCCAAAGGGCTTGTTCCAAATTGCATTTGGAAATGTCTCGGGGATGGCGTCTGCTACATCGAAACATCAGCAGAGCCAGCTCGGCAAACATAAATCATATCCATGGGTTTGATTTTTAAGAATATAATAAAACACTTAATTTCCTTTTCTTTAAAGATATGTTACACTTTTATTGATCCGCAGTGGGGAAATTCAATAAAGTACGTTATATATGTAAAGCTGAAATAAAGGCCACTTGGAGGAACACTGAAATATTATCCCCTCTTGAATTGAAATTAAGAACGTTAGCAAAAAGTTGCCTATTTGTATTTACACATCCAGCAAAAACAGGGCAAACTAGTTAACCAGCTACATGATAACCTTTAAATGGTTTCGGTATCCTGCGGGATACAGTCTTTTGACAGGCAGTTTCCATGTGTAAAACATTCCTATCTCCAGTTAACACCTTCACTCAACAAGATGCTGGACGACAACAACCTGCCAAGCGAAATATGTGGCTCTTTGTCAGCTAAATGCTTTACTAACTGAGCATCAAGCTGCGTACAGCTGACGGTTGTGGTGTGAAATGATGCTTTGAGAGCAGCGGATAAAAATAATCAAAGACACTGAGAAACAGTAAAAGAAGCTATAAAGCTCGTAAGGCATGATGTAAACTTCACAGTATGGTTTGTCTTTAGGTGTGTCACAAATTCTTTACACAAATGTGTTGGCCATTAGGTTGAAGCTATTGCTGAAAGGTCACTGCCAGCCAGCACTCCTGCGGGAGCAGCGCAGTCACATTACTATTAGCCAAGTTAGCATATGGGAGGCAAATAGATTAAACATGTTCCTGCTGTATTAAATGACGCCAATACCCGAGCTATCACAATTGCTAATCTAGCCAAGGCCTCAAGGACGGCATACCGATCAAACCAAATTGAACAATTTTCTGCTAACAAGGTTAGGACTTGAATTGGCATGTGGAACAGAGGAGGGGGAGAGAGAGAGAGACAACACATTGGCAGGCAGGCAGGCCGAGAGTAGGAAAGAAAGTGATTTAATTTAGCTGTCGTGTTTTTGCAGCCCGCCACCAGGGAAAAACCTTTTTCAATTTCTTTGTCTCCTCTGATCAAACTGTCAGTGTGAGTGGGATGATGCGTTGCTGTGTGAGATGGCAGTAGTTTGGGCACAGAAATAATACTACTGCTCTGAGAAATGTACAAAAGTTGGTAAGTCACGGTGCCTCATCGGGCTCTAAAAACAGGGGAGAGGGAGGGAAGTAGAACAGGCAGGATGTTAAATAGCTTTCTCCTCCTTCCCTGCTGTCCGCGCAGCATTCAGTCCACTCCCATGTGTGTAAATGTACGTGTGTGTGTGTGTGTGTTCTGTTAACTTCAACATGGTTGCTGATGCGAGCTGCCCACCGACGGCGGCAGCCGCAGCATATTCTGTTTACAGATCCACAACCGGACTGCAGATGTCCATCATTTCATAGAGAAAAGGAAGCCAACGTGTGTGTGTTTGTGTGTGCCAGCTTGAAGAAAAGAAGATCATCTCTGTACTGTGGCCAACCCAACAAAATAAATGAAAATTGGAAACCAACTTGAGAGAAAAGCAGCATCCCCATTTTCTCCAACAATTTACTCCACTAATTATATTTTGGCAAAAAAGGCATTTGCTGCCTTTGACAAGAATAAGATGTTTTCTTTGAAAATTATTTACTACTGCAGAGAGTAAGAGCAAATAATGAGAGCACAATGCAATGTCAAACTTTATGAAGAGCGGACATTGATAACCTGTCAGCATTCATTTCCAGGAGATTCTATTTTAGTGAGTCTGCCTGAATCATCAACTCAAGGAAAAAATGATTGATTTGAGATGACCAAATGTTTGAGGAGCACAACAGTAGGAAGTTGTTACAGGTGGTTCCTGTGTCCCAACTGGGACATCTTAAAATATTACGAGTGCATACATACTGTACATAATGGGTTTCAGAAGAAATGCCTTGAACAGAAACTCTAACCCAGTGTTAAGTGTTTCTTCGTCCACTGAGCTAAATAAGAAAATGATGTCAACTGAACCAACATTTTGTTTGTAAGACGTCAAAATAGAGCTATGAAAAAGAAACTGAAACTCAACATTTTGATATAAACTGTGGAAAGGTTTTGGTTTTCAAATCCAATATTGGAGATTAACTGTAGATAATTTATATTCTATAAAATGTGTTGGAAAAAAACATAAAAAACATGTCTGTATATTGGTAAAGGCATCTGCCAAAAATCGTTTGGAAAATATCAAATATAAAAAATCTAGGGTCTTGTACTTCTACTAACAAGCCATTTTCTACCAGATTCTTAAGCAATAGGGTCTTACATAACCCAAAACTTTTCTGCCAAAGTGGTTACTTTTGTATTTTTCAATGGTTAAAAGTAAAGCTAAGTTTTGGAAATGGTTATATCACATATTTCTGTGGTGGAATTTTACACGACTGAATGCATTGTTCAAACAAAGATCATGAAATAGAGGGCGAAAAAGTATCAAATTGAATAAACTCAATTTATATTCTGAGTACTTGGGAGGGTAATGGTTTGGTACTTGTATGGTAATGATCCAAACCATATCAATCCCCATTTTCTTTTTTCATTCCAGGCAACTTTGCTTATTTATACATTATGAAATGTCATAGCAAGATACTTTAGGTTGTATCCGATTTTACACGCTAAACGCGTTCACATCCAACCCCTTGGAACTCAAAAATCAGGTGCCCTCAGGTGTTAGGAATCTCGATAGATATCGACCCATTTTGTCATACGATTTGTGTGAAAAATACAAAGTGACTGCCCAAACCACATATACTAACGATTTGTATTAAATTAAATCAAATAATCAATCAAACTAATTCAAATGATGGACTCACCCTCGAGAGGGCAGTAGCGAGTGACCTTCTCGGGCATTAATTGCCCTTCCTTGTGTCTGCAGTACACCTCTGCAATCTGTTGCCGGCACTCCTTGCTCTTGGCTCTGGATAGAGCTGAAATGGCTTCCTTCCCGCTGATCTCACACTTGGGCGGCTCATCATAGTTCACCTCCAGCGGCGCTGCGGTTGCCTGCCTCCTGTGCGGATACTGATGTCTGTGTTGTGACTCGGCCTGCTGGGCATGTGAGGCACGGTAGTGTTGCTGTGACACTCCCCCAACACCTCCATGGTGGGAGGCGTTGTTTCCCAGCGCCAGCGTCTGGTGGCCTACAGGCAGAACCTCGTTGGAGTTTCGGCTCGGGGAGGTGTCCCGCCAGGCCTGCTGCTGGGCATGCGCTTTTTCCTGCAGATGCTCCCGCTGCTGTTTGCTGCTGGTGGCCCCCACAGACTGCCGGTGGGGCTGCGAGCGCGCGCCAAAGTTACTATTGTCTATATTTTCAAAGTCTTTGGGTACAGAGTTCTCGTTGTTGCTGTCCACTCTATTTTTCTCCTTCGGCCGGTGGGAGTAATATCCATCCTGGAGGAAGATAAGGAAAGCAATTTTAGTGGTGGGAAGAGAGAAACGAGGAGGAGGGAGGACACAAACAAGAAATCAGAACTGAGTCAGCGCGGTGCATATCAAATGTCGGATTAACAATCAATGTGACATGTATGAGTGGGCAGCGCCGTATTGAACCATGAGGCATGAAATGAAGTAGCAAGGTTTTAAGTACAAGGACTACAAGGTGTAAACTGACTAGAGGTGATGCAGAGCCGAGGGGGCTCCGTCGCTCCGTGCCATCATCAGATTAGCCTCAGTTTCAATTAAATTCTCCCTCAAATGGGCAACACACTCCGTAAACAGATGACCAAGAAAGGATAAAGGGCCCGAACATGACTGTGTGAGTTTGTGTGGGTGTTCGTTTTTATTTGTGTACACCTTGTACAAGTCTTTTTTTTTTTGAGAACTTGAATAAATGGTGTGGCGTGTGACTGTAAAGGCTGCACTTGTCAGCTCCGTGCGTCTGTAAATGTGAGATAGTGTGAGTATGTGTGAACGTCTGAATGTACAATTTCCGTATCTTTCCAGCAGAATGGGCTGAAAGCGAAGGAGGCGCACAGGGGAGAGAGGGTAATGAGTGAGAGTGGTGGAGTGCAAGGCGACGGAGCGCTGACACGAGGCATGAGTTCTGCTCCCGGGAAGCGCTGGCTAGTTCCAGTGAAATGTGCCACGGTGCATCAAACAGGAAAACTAAGAAAGCTGCCTGCCGCTGTTGCACACCTTGCTAGACACAAAAAAGGAAGAGGCAGAGGGGGGTGGGGGAACGGAACGACAAACAGCAGCAGAGGAGAGATGAAGCTCATAACAACAGGAATCCCTGATGTGTTTCTCCATTTACAAGACACAAAAAAAGAGAGGAGGGGAGAACATGTGGAGGGAGAGCTAAGTGCAATGTGAGGTGTGTGAGAGAGTAGTAGCAGGAGAGGTGAGAGACACACGGGGACCAAGTGAGATGCTATTGTCAAGCAGGCGCTCGCTTGGCATGGAAATGTCTCTCCACCCCTAAAGCCAGGCCTGTTATCAGCCCATCAACCTTCCCTCTCTCCAAACACCTTGTACCATCACAATTACAAAGGTGGCTGGATGACACACTTACAGAGAGGCAGGAGGAGGAGGATTTTATAGAAGTGAACACAAGAGCTAAAAACAGAGGAGGACACAAAACAATATCGTCATTGTCAGCTCCTTTTAAGCTGCTGCCTTGGCAGAGGTCTGAATCCGCCACACCGGACACCTTAGAGCGTGTGCCTCTCCTCTTCTTTTCTCTCCATGCATCTCTGACTTATTCCCACTCTTTGCCTTTTTCCCCTCTCCTTCCCCTCTTCACACACCCCGATTCAGCTCTCATCCTTCCTCCACGTCTCACTCCTCTTCCCTCATCGTCTCTTCCCCTATTTTCACGTCTTTCGCACCTCCTATTCTCTCTTCAATTTCGTCTCATCTCCTACCTGTCATAACCTCTCCCCCACCCTTCCTTGTCTTCCTCTGCTCTCCTCACGCTGCCCGTTTAAACAGAGCATGTTGTCTGAATGGCAGAACCTGCTAATCCTGCGTGTAACAGCTGCTTAGGCCAGTGATCACCTAAAAAAAAAGAAATCCCTACTTGCCGAGTTTCAAAGGGAATGCTTTAGGGGGCTAATCCATGCACTGCAAGTCACTGGATGTTTGCAGAGGTAAAATGAGTCTGTGTGCATTCACGATTATGTGAGTACAGGGAATGCTTCTTGAGGCTTTTTCTTTTTATAAAAGTGTTCACGTGTGGTGTGTTGTGTGTGTGTGTCTGTGTGTGTATTGTGTGGGTTTTAACGGAGGAGGGGTAACAGCAAGTAAAGTAGAGGCAGCATGTGTTTGCCCTGGAGAAACGGATACTCGCACTTTGAGTCCCACTGCGAGACATGAGACGATGAGGGACACATTTTAATTGGAAAAATGCCCAAGTGAGCAAATGTTAAAAACAAACAACAGCAACACATCTTTGCTTACAGCACGTAGATATCAAATGTTGGCTAAAGAAGGAAGCGTTACTCTAATATGAAATCTTAAAAAAGCCTGTCTTTTCACACAGCGTGGCTTACTTGAGGCATGTCTGTCTGTACAATATTAGGAAACTTATGGATTTATGTAGGGCTGAAACTAATGATAATTTTACTATCAATTACTGAAATTGTTTACAAATTATTTAGACTAAATAAGAGCAGATAACTGTTTAAAAAAACGTTTATCACAGTTTTAGAGAGCAGCATTTCCAGCAGAATTCTTTAAGGGCATCCCACCTTGCCTTAAGGAAAAAAATGATGACATTTTAAGGAAATAACTTCTTATTAGAGGATATATATCCCTCTCATGTATGTCAGTACGCATGAAGGTGTAGTCCAACAGAAACTGAAGCTGACTGGGTAACACACTAATATTTTACTGCAGTGAGGTCTTGGCCTACAAATCTGTTCTACAGACTTCTGTTTGTTATATATCCTCGCAGAAAAATAACACCGGGTTCATTATAATGTATGTAAATGAGAATCATGTATTAATAATAGTAATAATCACAGTCAAGTGTTTGTTCCAACTCATTCAGCACTAGTAATACTATTTTCATCCAATCTGACAAGAAGTGAGATAGCATATTTCCTAAAAGTTTGAACTATTCCTTTAGTCAATCCGAGCAGTGGCACTATACCAATGGAACATGTATTGGATAAGTGAGGCGATTAATTCAATCCACAAATGTAGCTGATAATAGCTGACACTTCTGATTCATTTCAGCAGGTGAAATGAATGGATCAATCACATCATGTGTTTTCTTGCAGTAATTAATCAGAGCAGCACATTGCAATGTTTGGAGGAATAAAAAACATTTGGAGCCAAAGCAAGAATCCCAATCAGTCACAATCAGTTGCCTGATTGTGCCAAACCAACCCTCTAAAACCCAAAGATATTTAATTCGCAATCAAGTACAAGACAAACAAAGGCAGAAATGTGTTGGAAATGTCATCGTTTTGCTTGACAATTGAGTCATAAAAAATTAACCAACCACTAAAATGACTTGAATTTTAACTGATGGATTAATAATCTAATTTACATTTTACAGAATGTTTAAACATTTTGTGTCAAACTGCTTTCTGAATAAATCCCAGCTGGCTGTAATTGTTTTCTTTTTGGGGAGAAAAAAAAAGGAACAGCATCACAAAGATGTTGATTTGTTGCAAATTCATTGACACGGATAAGAGTTGAGGTTAGCCCCCATGTGGCCCTGGAGTGGAAATGAGTAATATTTGTAAAACTGGCACTGAGGAGATTCCTCCGGATAAACAATCTTCACACTGTGCTCCCTCCCTCCTGTGAGCAAAGGACTCCAGTAAGTGTGTGTGTGTTGCTCTTTAATCTCAGGGACCAGCCTCTAAGCAGGAAGCGGCGGGACACTTAACTAATAGTAGTGGTGGCCATTGAGGATAGAAACTGCAGATGGAGCTGGGAGCTGAGGGTAGCTATCGATTGATTCAGGGGATACGTTTTCATACTCATGGGGAGTGTCGGGGGGGGGGGCATGCCTGGCATGCCTGGCATGTGGTGGGCTGGCTGCGCACGCACGCACGCACGCACGCACGCACGCACGCACGCACGCA